CAGAACCAGAAACGAGTCTCAGCCACTGCCAAGCACTGACACACACATGCCAGCCATACTTCCAGGCGGGGGGGCCCCACAGTCAGGAACCACGTGGGTCCTAAGTCACCACACCTGGCTGCTCGATAGCATGTCAGGTGGGGACAGAAGGATTTTCCCCAGTAAGAGAAGCCTGCTGCTGGAGCCCCTGAGTGCAGACCCTCGGGCGCCCCACCCCTCTGGTTGGGGCCCCTTGTGTTATTTCACAGCTGTGCAGTGCCATCAGGACCAGGATGAATCAGGGCGGTGGCGGAGGGAGGACAGGGGAGGCAGGTGCGGGCACGGTCCATGCCTGCCTGTAATTACGAAGGCCGCAGGCTGCAGACAGTAGCGGAGCACTAACACCCCACTGGGCACCTGGCACAGGGTTTCCAGTGGGCAAAGGCCTACACCATAATGAGGACAGCCTCCCCACCCCGAGGCCTCAAGAGAAACTACCTGGGCACACTGGCCACACAGGATGAGCCCCGGCGCGGTACACGTAAGGGCTGAGAAAAGAATGCAGGCAGGCATCCAGTCGGTGGCCCAGGACACCCCCACCAGATCGCTGCTCAGGCATGGCTGCCCTTGGAGAGCAACACCCATCCCAGAAGCCGTGCAAGAACATGGGGGGACCAGCAAGCGACAAGGACAGCCCCATCTGCCAACTCTCCATCCTATGCAGGGCTCCCCTGAGCAGGACCTACATCTGCAAACTGGGGGTGGGAAGTGCCAGGTGGGCCTGGGGCTCCCTGCCGGCCTGCCTCCCTGCTGAGGAGGGGACAGGGTCCTCTGCTCAGCGGCCAGTCCTCCCCTGAAAGGCCCCCGAACCTGGGCAGCCCAGCCTGCACCACCTGTGCTGGGGAGGGAGGGAGGGAGGCAGAAGGACCTCTCGGCCCTCAGTGAGCTTCAAGAATCTAAAACAAGGTGGCAACAACAAGCACGCACACGGCTTCCACGGCAGCCCCCACTGACGCCCTGAGAGCCCTGGGCTAGCACCCAGAGCCTCAAGTGCACATGGTCTGTCCCATGAGCCAAGGAGCCTCCCCAGCAAAAGACATATTCTCCAGGCAAGACCAGTGGGGATGGCAGAGCAGGTAAAGCACTCCTGGCCTGTGAGGAACTCTGCAGCGCCACCACGCCCCGGGCCCCGCCCTTTACGGCCATTGGCAAACACCGGCAAGGTCCAGCAGCAAGGGTCCTGTGTCGAGGGGCCCACAACCTCAGGACCGTGACCTGGGCACAAAGAGCTGCTGAAGCCTGTGGCCCAGAATCAGTGCAACAGAGAAAATATCCTTCGCTGCCTGGGCTACTCCACGGGAGATGGAGATGCGCTGCTGCTGCTGCCACGCGGGTGGTGGGGAGTGGGCTTCATACTCCATGAAGGACGACTCAAGAGTCTACTCGGACAGCAAGCCCCACATCTTATTGGAAGATGCTACCCCAACAGGGCACCCCTGAGGTGCCTCTATAGCAAAACGAAGTCCCACGTGCATGCACACACATATGCACACATACTCACTTGGACACAGAGTGCTTGTGAATACACAAACACATATATGCATGGGCCTGAACTCACACCTGTCTGCACGGACAACATATGCACGCATGTTCCTGTGCACATAAGCACACACACAGCCTCAGGTCTGCTGCCAGCAGGCGTTTCTGTTGCTAAGGAAGCGCCTGTCAGAGCATCCACTTCACCACCCTCAACCACGAGCCTGTGGAGCCCTGTCCATGCTGGGTGCCAGGCTCTTGACGGTGGTCAAGAGTTCCGTGTGACTGCTGAGCAGTGGAAGGGGTTCTGGGGGAGGCAGCAGAGAACTTGGGGCCTCCTGCTTCCCTCTGCTTCTCTAAACACCTGGAGGAGGGTGACGGGCAAGGCCTGGCCAGCAGTGGGCTCTTGCCTACACAGGTGGGCTCCCTTCTGCCAGCGCTGATGCCCATCGCCTTGCAGCAGCAGTGGGAAACCTGATGGGACTCTGGTTGCAGGAACCCACTGGCCACAGCTGTCTTCACAGGACAGATGCAATAAGCTTCCCCACAACGGCCGGAGAGTGAGGACCACCAGACAGCCTCTGGTGACACAAGCCTAAGGCCCACGACACCCTGAACAGCCATGCCTGAGGCCTTCCTAGGGACTTTCCTCGCCAAAGCCTGTGCCCATCTTCCCACATCCTCAGGATAGGATGGAAGCCCGTGGGGCTCTTCCTCTACAAGGTGCCAGAGCCAGCCCCCTCCAAGGTCACCAGGTTGCCTGGAGCCAGGGTTTCTCATGAGACATAGGACCATGAAAAAACCACCAACCTGAGAGTCACTCCCTGGAGCTGAAGACTAAGATCAGTTGCTAAAGAAAGCCCTCTTGCTGCAGCACATGGGGACATTTGGAGGCCTCTCCCAAGAGAGATGCAATTTGGGCTTAATTCTCAGAGGCAGATCCCCACCCTGCAATTCTGTCCCTCGTCCCAGGCAATCACCTAGGGCTGCCTATAGTGCCATCACGAGGGGCCCAGACCAGGCTCTACCCCAGGAAGCCCTCAGAGGGCTTCAGTCCCTGTCCCTTGGCCCAAGGTCCAAGGGTAAACTCTCAGTGAATGTCATTTCCTGCCCCTTCATCTTCCATAAAATTCCCCGAGGACACAGTGCCCAAGGGAAGTGGGCCATGGGGAGAGAGATTAAATCCTGAGATTTGGATTCTTCCAGGGAGGAGAAGCAAAACTGGACATTTTATTCTCGTGTCTGTAATCAGCAAGGCCAAGGCTGTGTGTCCCCACTGTTCCCTTCTTTGCCAAGGCAAACAGCACTCAGAACTGCAGCTGATACGACAGGGGCCAAAGCAAACAGCTGAACTGTAGCTCAGGGTGACGCCAAGCAGGGCCACATCCCTGCCACTCTCCCACAAGTCACCAACCCAGGCACAGAGGCAGCAGCGTCCCCAGACAGGGTGGAGGACCAGCCAGACTGGCTGGGGTCTCCATACAGCAGCTTTGGCTGTGCCCTGAGCGTGCCTTGATTTGGCTGGATTCTGCCCAGCCGGTGTGCCAAACTTACCCAACCTGTCCCGGCTCTGCTGTGGAACCCGAGCTCCCCAGTGACGAGCCACAAATCGTAAGAGAGCCGCACTACAGCTGCAGAGTGGCCGGGAAACACCACGCACAAGTCCACCTGTCCACTGGCCCCGCGGCCTCAACCCACCAGGAGAGTGTGAGACACCCAGCACTGTGGACGCCCACTTCCCGATGTGTCTAACCTGAAAGTCCGCGGTCTCGGCCACACCTTCCCCTGGGAGCTCAGTCATCACTGACCGGTGAGCACAGAACGCAGACTAGCTTGCTGAACGTGTGCCCCAAACCCCCAAACACTCAGATCCTAATAGTTTTCTGCTGACAGATTTCACTCCAGACCTGCAAACCCATCTGTGCTTCCTCCAGAAGCTGCTCCGCTGGAACAGCATGCCTGACTGCTCCCTTCTAAGAGTTTTTTTTTTTTTCCTAAGAGTTTTATTAAGACCGACCATGGGGTTCCCCAGAGCAAAGCCACGCCATGCACTCCCTCTTAATTCTGGCCATTAAAGTTCCTGTTTCATGCTTTCGGAGCAGAAGCAGGGAGAAGAGGGGAGAAAACACCAACACTGGTACTTCTTTTCCACCCCCTGCAATAATGAGCAAGTCGAAACTAATGACTAATAATTTAATAAATCTCCCTCCCCTGACAACCATTTACAGAGCAACAAGACCAAAAAGCGTATGCCACTGACTCTCCGCGATACAAACATAAAAAGCCCAGAGGCTGTTCCTTTTACGTGCTGCTTCCTCGTCAGTCTCCACTCCTGTTTACCAGCAGCTCCAACATGGCTTCAGAACTGACTTAGTCCACCCTGACCCGGCCTCCAGATTCTTCCAGGTGACCTAGCTGCAACTTTAAAAACCTTTATTAGCAGCTGGGATTGACTGCGGCCGCGCTGAACTCCAGCTGAAAGCTAAGGGCCCATCAGAGGCCTCCCTCCGCGCGCAAAGAGGGCTTGGCAGGCCGCTGTCTAAGGAGGCACAGCATAGTTGTTTAACACAATTAGAAACTGTTGCTCTGCCAGCGCGCTGCAATCCCACTCCGCCGCCATGAACCAGCCGCCGCCGCCTAAACACCAACTCCAAAACCCCTCGGCCCTCCGCGTAACCCGCAGACACAGTTTTGAAACAGAGCCCGGCTTTGTACGAGGCCCGCGTGGACCGCCCAGGGCACGACTCTCCCGTGAGGAAATGCTGCCGGGAGCAGCCCTGAGCCTCCGGAGCCTGGCTCTGTGCTGGTGGGGGTGGGGGTCCAAACCGAGAAAATGGATGCGAGAAACGTAAACTCGGGTGTCTGCCAACGTGCACACCGGCGCAAAACCGGCCCCGGGCGGGGGCGGCGAGGGTCCGGCGGGCTGCTGGCGCTCCAACACACGCCCGCGTTCCGCACCGGGGGCTGAGAACCGACTCCTCACACATCAGAAGCAGAGGCGAGCGCGCCAGCCTCCCACACAATTAGTCTTCTCCCTCCGCGGTTACATAAGATGACGGATTATCTGTCTACCCATCGAACCTGCCCGCGCGCGACCTCCCACCCGGCCACATCCACCGAGAAGGACTTGTGGAAAGGGAAAGCCTGTTGAGAAAAAAGTGCCCCAGGCTTGCGTAACCATGCCCGGCGGGGCCACGACGGGGCGCAGGGCGACGGGCAGCCGCGGCCCCGGACCCCCGCAGACCTCGGACTCCGCAGTACGCGTCCGCGCCCCTACTCAACTCAGATCCGAAGGCTCCGGCCCCCGCGCACGCGGAAGACGCACTGAAGGGGGCGCGGGGGAAGTGAGAGGCTGTCGGGGCAAGCGGACCCGAGCCAATCTCTCCCGGGCTGGCGCTGGGTCCCCGCGGCAGCGCTGGTAAGACCACCGAGGGCTCAGGGACTGCTCCAGGAGGGCGCGAGGGCGCGTGTGGCGCGTAGCTCACCTTGTAGACATTTTCCGTGAGCCGGTGCATCTCCTCCGAGCGAGACAGCGACATGGTGTTGGTCCGGCTGCACCACTGACCAAACCAGGGGCGCAAGTAGCGGCGACTGCGGACGCGACAAGGAAACCTAACAAACAGCGCACCGAGCGGGACCAGGAGCGCGGCACCCCGCCGGCGGCCTCCTTTATAGTCGACCAGGCCCCGCCCCCCAGAGGCCCCGCCTCCCGCGCGCCCGCCCCCGCCGCACCCGGATCACCACCCCCGGCCTCCCGCCCCCGCCCAGCCGCTGCTGCTAGGCAACCGACAGGCCCCGCCCCCGCGCCGCCTTTCCCATTGGTGAATCCTGGAGACTGGGGAAGGGGGCGGGGAAAAGGGCGGGGTTTGTGGGCCGGCAGCAGGGAGCGATTGGCCCGTGGCGCCGTCGATCGCGGGGGAGGAGGCGGAGGCGCGGCGCGGGCTGGGGCCCTGGGAACAGCCGGGGGGCCCGGGCAACAGCAGTGCTGGGGGCGGGGAGGCGGAGGCGGGGTGGCGCAGGAAGAAGGGAGCAGAAACCGGGTGGGGGCGGGACGCCGGCCGCGAACGCGCGTGGGGGAGGCACTCCGCGAAGTGGCGAGTCAGGGTGGCCGGGTCCTGAGCGCCGCTCCCCCGAAAGCTGTCGGGATCAGGCGTCCGCACTGGGCAAGGGAGGTCCCTGAACGCTTGGCCACTTCCTGGGGAAGGGAGCGGGGGCAAAGGTAAGGACTTCGCGAAGGAGGGTGAGAGGCTGGCGTGCTGTCCCAAGGGTCCAGCCTCTACCAGGCACTTTCGGAGGTAAGTCCAGTGGGTGGCTGCGACCCTTGGGCCGGCTCTTCCGGGGAGGGAGGACCCTGAAACGGGTCTCAGGGGAGGGAGGACCCTGGGGAAGACCCTAGAGAGGGGTGAACCCTGGGGGAAGACCCTGGGAGGGGTCCCTTGGGGCTGGGATTCTAGGGAGGGGAGAGCCCTGGGTTGCAGAGAAGGACTCTGCGGAGAGGGGTTTTGGGGGTGTGGATTCTGGAAGGGGTGGAGGAACGATGGGGAGAGGATCCTGTGGTGAGGATTGAGGGGCGCTCAGAGAAAGAGGACCCTCGTGATGGTGGCAGAAGATCTTCCTTGAGGGGTATTTCCTTGGGGAAAGGAGATTCAGGGAAGGGGAGGGGCAGGGAAGAGGGGGATGGGGGGTGGGAGGTGGGGTGGGGCTAGGGGGGTGGGGAGGGGGAAAACCTAGGGGAGGGTGAACCTTCCTGGATGGAAGAGATGGGATCAGAGATGCCTGAGTTTTGAAAGCAATTCCTGGGAGGTTCTGCTGAGGAGTTGACCAAGTTGGCACAGAGGGTTCCTGGTGCAATTCATTTGGAGAAATATTTACATAAATTAGATTAACATAGAGAAATTATTTGCTTTACCTTGTAAAACACCAGATCTAAGTGTTTCTCTTTAATTAAACCTGACACTCTCCACCAGCACCACCAGCATCCCATCCCTGGACAGTCATCCCTTCAAGAGCAGGTGCCCAGGAGACAGAACCCCCAAGATGGCTGGAGGACTCCAGAAGACAGCAGGGGCTGAGACAGATTTTTTCCATGGGGTCATTAACCAGAATGAACTATGCTCTGCTTCACATGGATTCAAAGAAAATGGAAGGGATATTCAGGAAGCATTTGCCTTCCCTCCTAACCTCAGAGCCTTCATTCACAGAGAGTCTTCTTGGTTTAATTTCCTTTCAACACCAGCCCCAGTTTCTTCCTTTTTATTGCTTGCAGTGTTTTAAGGTAGATTTCAGTGTAGTATGTAATTTCTGGGATTCTTTTGGTTGCAAGTAACAGAAAGCCGGCTCAAACTGGCTCTAACAATGAGGGCGTTGTTGACTCACGTGTCAGAAGTCAGGCCTGTCTTCCTCCCCCAGCTCCCTTTCCTCCACGCCAGCTAGAGGCAGCTTCCATCCTTCCCACCCCAAGACTGACATCCATTGACCTGTTATGAGGTCACAGGCCCATGAGGAGCCAGGTGGGTATAGAGCAAGAGCTGTTGCTCATCCAAAGGGAGCAGAGTGACCAGGACAAGGAGAGTGGTGGGTGGAGGCTGGCCAGTGAAAAGAGGGTCTCATTGCTCTGGGAGGGGAACTAGCCTGAGGAGAATTCTCCGGGGCCGTCTGCTCCCATCAGTCATGAGACGGCAGAGGAAGGAGAGCGGCTTTCCAGAAAAGCTTCTGTGGCCCTGAGCCCCACCCTACCCCACCCCACCCCCTAGAAGATCCTAGTCTTGATCGCCCTCTTTCTGCCCAACTGGACGCTCACATTTGGTAGCAGCTGAGGCAGGAGGGCTAATCACCTCACTTGGGGTCTGCACCCTCCAGCTGACATCTGGGCAGAAGGTGAACAGCTGGGAGGGAAGCCATCATTCAGGAGAGTGTTCACTGAGCACCTGGGGCAAGTGAAAATAAGCACATCCCGCCAAATGGCACTGAGAACGTGGGACCAACGGCAGATGCAGGGCAGGTCTGGAAAGGGGCTTACACCTGGGCCTAGAGAATGGCAGTGAGAGAGTCCGCCCCTTGCTGGGCAGCTCCCCGCCCCCCATCCTCCAACCACCAGTCTACTGGGGTGCCCGGCGCTGCATGCTGACACCTTCAGTTGCGAGGAGGTCTGAGCTGCAGGCCAGGAGCCCACCAGTGACCCCTGAGGCCTTTCTTACTTGGGTGGGAGCTCTTTCAGACGGCAGCAGTGTCTGAGTGGGGCTGAGCAGTACCCAGGGCTAGGGGTGGGCTGGGTGCTGAGGTGGTCCCAGTGCCACTCCTGGGAGTCAGAGGGGCCTGCTTAGGGTCAAGACCACCTCTCTTCAAGACCCGCAAGCCATTGCCATGATGGAGAGGCTCTGCTCATCCCACCAGCCCTGCAAGGACTAGCAGCAGGGCCAGCACCCCAAGCCCCTGCCCTCACCCAAACCAGGGCATTATTCTCCCTGCACTATTTGGGGGGCGGGCTGTGGCTTTCTATAGATGAGCAGCTCATCACGAGACACTGGGAAAGCAGATGAGCTAGAGCCTGCCCACTGCTGGTTTCCCTGTCACTTCTGACTGCCCGTCCTCACCTCTGTGGGCCAAGAGATCAGAGAAGTGTGTAGCCATGGCGACCCACAGCACCCCACCTCTGAGCCTGAGGTCCCCCCGTCCCTGGCACCGGTGATGGTGCCTCGCGCACACAGGGTGCCGAGCCAGGGTCAGCGGCAAGAATCTGACCACATGGTGCTGCCAACACTGACCCCGGGTCAGCTGACCCCAGCACGGGTGGCCCAGGAGAAAAAGGCTGGAAGCAGGGAGAATCAAAGTGCATCTCTTCATCAGCTTATTTTTAGTCGCGTTATGTAAGTGGCTTCATCTCAACGTCACGTAGGGGGGGGGGTCTCAGATTTAATTACAGGATGACAGCCTCTGCTTTTCAAGCAAGCTGTTCTCCTGGCAAGGCAGGCACAAGGATTTGTGAATTTTTGCTAAACAGAAGGAGCCCTTTCTGAGGTGACCGCAAAACTTTAAGGGTTTTCACCACCACCTCTCTCTCTCTGACCAGCCCAACCGGGTTTCTGTGGAGCTTGGCCTAAGGGGGTGGCAGTCTGTCTCAGATCACAGGGAAATTTCATGCCTGTCAAGGGAGCTGTTTCTCCACCACCCCCTCCTGGCAGCCTCCCCGTCTCTCTAAGAGAAGGATCCACCCAATCAGAACTCCTCTTCCTTTTCTCCTTCCTGGATTAGAGCACTTGTGATCGGCAACCAGAAAGTTCCAGAGCAGGAGAGAGAGGAGGCACGGACACTGTTGTGTCTTCCCCATCCTCTCTGGCCATCACTGCCTCTTCCCTCCACGCCAGGTTCTGTGGGTGACTGGCCGGGGCAGGGCTACTGGGCCGAACTGTCCAAACTGCGTCCAGAGGACTGTTTCCTTGGTCCTCAGCCCACATTCTTCACACTGTTAGCCTTGTCAGCAAGAAGGCGTGGGGGTGCCTGGAGCCGGAAGCTCCAGAGGTGGGTGGTGAGGGAGGCCTGTGTCCTGCCAGCAGGAAGTTCACCTCAGCGGCCTCCAGCACACTGTGGGCTTGTACGGCTGAGGCAGGGCCACGTCGCCTGCCACGGGGTGAAGCCTACCATCTACCTGGGGCTGCCGCTAAGGGCATGGGCACAGAGTTGGGAAGCCAGTACCCGGGGCTGGGCCAGCAGCCGCGTGATGGCCTTGGGATCCTGGGCAGTAGGTTCCAGATGGGCAGGCTACCTGAGCAGGGTGTTGGAAGAGCCGAGGTATAGATGGCAGAAGTCTGGCATCGAGAACCATGCCTGGCACGTGGCAAGTGGTCAGTGTGTCTTAGATATCATCATCATCAGTGGTCAGACAGGACCTTCCAGAGAGCACCTAAGTGCCCATGGGTGCTGCCCCCTCTAGTGGGTGCTCCAGGAGATACCCAGCCTCGGTGTGGGCTGTGAGGCGACTTCCAGGAAACACGGGTGCTGGGGAGACACTGACGAGCACGCCCAGCCAGGCGAACCAGGCCACATCTTCAGGGTGAGCCACGGGACCGGACGCGGCCTTGACGTGCTGAGAAAGGTGGTACTCCTCCCCAGGCCCGTCATCCCGGGCTTTTCATGAGAAACATCACCAGTCTCAGCAGAGGGACAGTCTGCAGACCGCTGTTCACATTCCTCAAACCAGGCAAGTCTGAGACCCTCAGGGCCAAGAGGAGCCCAAGAAGACGTGATGACCAAGTCACGTGGGATCTGGGTTGGGTGCTGGAGCAGTAAGAAGACACTAGGTGAAAGCTAAGAAAACCTTAATAAAGTCCAGATTCTAGTGAACAACAGTGAGTCCACGGTGGTCTGTTAATTGTAGCAAACGCATCACAGTGACAAGAGATGTTAACAACAAGGCGGGGCAGGGGGGATCTCTTAGGTGTGGGCTATCTTTGCAGTTAACTATAAATCTAAACAGTCCTAATGTGTAAAGCGGAGAAGGCAATGGCAACCCACTCCAGTACTCTTGCCTGGAAAATCTCAT